CCCATAGTACATAAAACACTTCTAAGAATATCATAGCATACCAGGGTATATTTAAATTCTTTACTTATTGTTTTCATTATTAATTATTTGATCATTAGTTATAATATTTTATCAGAATCTGATAGAAGGGATGCTTCTCGTGCTTCTGATAGAAGGTCTGCTAAGTAAGTCAGCAAGATAAGACTTTGAGATTATGTAGAAGATAAATTGAAATGTGAGGAATGTCACAATGAACTCCACTCCTGAAACACTGCAGCAAATAAGAAGCAATCCTACAAAGCCATTGTAAAACCAAAAATGACTGGCCTTAGCTGAAGCGAGACTAGCAGAAAGTATTTTTCAGAAAGGACATAGCTGCTCTCAGTAAGTGCTCTAGTCAGCAAATTCTAAGGTAATGTCTATGTTTATACTAGTTCAAATATCACCTGCTTAGATCAGAGCTCTAGAAAATTCTAATTTCTCATCATCATTCCCCAGTCATTCTCTGTCATGCAATTCATTTTTAATTTCTTCAAAGTAATTGCTGCAATCGGAAAGTATTTGTTTGCTTGCTGGGGAAGTCAACATCAGTTTCCACCAGGCCATGAGCTTCTTGAGGGTAGGAACACCTCTAATTGCCCCCAGATCTCGGTGCCCAGAGCAGCACTTGACACACAGTAGGCATTAAATAAGGCCGAGGAGCTTCTGCAGAAATGTGTCTCCCCACCTGTTTTCTACAGGCTGTGGGCCATCGTTACAGAGTTCTGAAAGCCTGAAAGGAGCAGTGAATGAATTAAACTTCAGGCAACAGCTGAGCTGCTCTGCTTTTGGATTTGAGCCCCTGAGCTTCTGCTAGTGAAATATTTTATAGAAGATATTAGTCCACAGATCACAAGAATAGTCTGAATGTCTTCAGCTTGATTAAATTGCTCCTTTTTACACATTGCTGTATTCAGTGCAGTTGCTTCGTTCACAGGTATCAGCATATATAGTTAGTCATGGTGAGAATCCTACCAATTCACTGCTAGTTTCAAAAACCTTATAGAGAGTCTCAGGATCATTGCCTTAACCATCTTGTGTATATAAATGTATGGTTTTGCCCCTACCATGTTTCCTAGCTTTTCTCCTTGCCCTTTCTTTATTGTTTAATCCTGAAGTTCTCGCTTCCCATTTAGTTGTGTTATATCTTCAATTTTTATTTCTTCTTTTGAGTTCTTACACTACCAGGGAGATCATATATTTACACATGTGGGTCTTGTGAGTATATCTTCAAGTGGCATCCACTTATATATGAAGGCTTCAGGTTTATCATTCTTTATAGCTGAGTAATACACCATTATATAAAAATACCACATCTTTTTCATCCATTCCTTAGGTGACAGGCATTTTGGTTGCATTTAGACAAGATATCATGTCTACATCTTGTACTATAAATGACCATTACAAAGACAACAATATGCAATGCATTAATTACCGTGTCCTCCTGTTTTGAAACTGTCTCATTGCTACTTCTTTCTCAATAAAATTAATATAAAAAAGAATAAAATAAATTGCTCCTTTTTAATTATACATGCTACAATTTCTCATCCCAAATGTATTTTATTGCTAATAGTAATGAAGTTGATATTTCATTCTTAAACACATCAATTCCTTACATCTAAAATAAAAAAAGAGAAAAACCTTGCAACTCTGGCAGCCTTCATAGCTCAGGCTCTGCCACCTTAATGAAAAGAATCTCAATCTCCCCTTCTGACCTTAAGCAACTTCTCTGAATTTTCACACCTTTTCATGTCATTTGCTTATTGTATGTATGAGAAAGGAGCCATTCCTAGAAACAAGCATGGCACGTATGGTGCTTTCACCTTCCATTTCATATGACTGTTTGCTAGCTAATATCAGTTACTTGGATTTGTCAGACTACTGTATGAGGGACAAGAAATCTTTGAAAATGTATGTCCGGACTCATCCACATGGCTGCACTGACAAAGGTTCTACAATCTGAGGTACAGGATCTCAGGATAAATCCTGAGGGCATTTCACTGACCTTCTCAGACCAAAAAGCTACAACTCTTGTTGCACAGGTCCTGCTTTACCTTGGTCTTAACCATCCAGTAGAAAAGTATGAAGATGAAATATAGGAAGTAAAGCCATGCTGTTAAGTTGAGCTGTGGGGGACTCAGGTCAATAATTTCTGACATTGCCAGTTAAACAGAAGACCCAATGCTATTATGGGCTACTGGACTCTTTTAGAATATTTTGCTGAGTTTACACACCTATAATATTCAATAACGGAACTTAGAAAAAATGGGGTATACCGATGAATGCCCATTTTGTATCTGTGTATTCAAAGAGGTTGGGATAGATATATAGTTACATTCTCTTAATGAATAGAATGATTTGTTCTAATGGTATTTGTAAATAGGATCACAAGTCCGCATCTTGTACAGCAATTAACCACTAAGAAGAATATATGCAGCGTATTATTTGTTGAAACTGTACTTCTGATTTGATTTGAAACTGTCTCATTGCTATCTGTTTATCAATAAAACTTTGAAAAAAAAAGAATGATAAAAAAATAAAGTTGGGCACTTTGAAAAAAAAAAAGAAAATGTATGTCCCTTTATTTTATTTTATTTTATTTATTTATTTTTGTTTTTTGGTTGTACCAGGGATCAAACTAAGAACCTTGTGCTTGCCAGGTAAGCACTTATTCAGTTGAGCTATCTCTCTGGCCCTGTATGTCCCTTTAGAGTGAATAATAACTCATCCATGAAATCATTTGTACAAGCCTCAAATTCACCATAAAAGCACACATATGCTGAAATCCTGCAAGAGATTAGGAACCTTCCCGGACACGGAGGATGCACCCATGAAGGTGACAGCCTTTCCCCAGGGAAAACGAGCAGGTGGAGCACGTATGTTACAGAGGAACAGTTCTTCTGACAACTAGCCCTTTGTATAAGCAGAATGAACATCCACTATTTCATTAAAAAGAACTAGAAAAGCATAGTCTTGACAATTCTTTCTCCAGTTTGTGTTAAACAAAATGTTATTACTTCTTTGGGTATACATGGAACGGATACATCCACTGTAACTCAGCTGTAACTGATATGGACTCTTAACAAGTCCAAATCTCAGAAATAATCTTTATTTCATACCCTGAAAGTTTATTCAAATCATTAATATTAAAATTAAATATGGTGATTTCTATGACATATGTAGCTTGTCAGATTCTGATTATTTACCTAAAAACTTGAAGGGCATGAAACCAATGAATAAAGTTTTCCTTTGCTTATAATTCAAAAAGATACAACCAAACATTTTCTAAGTCACTGTTTCTGATCTACCATCCTGCCAAGGGGTAACTCCAGGTTTCCTAATATGAGTCTTTTTAAGTTTTGAGAGCAGGTCATGCTGATAGCCTGAAATCCATGGAAGTATTCACTTGGTCATTGCTTCAGTTACTTTTGCAAAAATTTAATGAATGAAATTATCTGATATGCTACTTTTTGAAGTTATACAACCAAAGCAATGATTAAGGTTTTGCTCCCTCAAATCCAAATCCATTTCCAGTAAGTAAGTGAGCAAGCCAAACCCCTCAGATGAGTCAGTGAGTGAACAGTCTTCTTAGCGGGAAACAGTCTGAGGCAGGGCTAAGACTAGGGGATTTGGTGTCCCGGTTCTACTTCTCAGATCAGATAAGTGTGGGCAGATCATTACCTTCATAATCTTACTTGCACGTTTGCAAGTGATATCTCTGCCCTGTCTGCCACACGAGGTTATTTCACAATTCAAATTAGATAATGTGTCAAAGTGCTCTTTAATAAAAGTGCAGAGTCCGAGCACTTTATTGTTGTATCACCAGTTGCTACTTGGTACATAACAACTCAAAACAACTCCTCTCAAGCCATAGTGATGCATTCAGGGGAGGGTATATATTTATAACTAAACGTACGAAGCAAAGTCTGTCCTCAGGGGCATTCTCGCCTACATCTCTTAAAGTATTTACTTTTTCTTGATTGCCTAAGTGCTTGCCAGGACTGCCAGAGTGCTGGCAGGATGACAAGGGACTAATTCCACAGACTCAGATATGAGAATACCAGCTCCATCACTCACTACCTGAGAACCATTGTCAAGTAGTGAACATTTCATAAGCTTGCTTCCAGGTCTATCAAATGCTTATTAAAATAATGCCTATCTTTGGGCTGGGGAGATGGCCCAGTAGAATAAGTACTTGCCTGGCAAGCGCAAGGGTCTGAGTTCAATCCCCGGTTCTGCAAATAATAATAATAATAATAA